AATATCGTCCCGGACGATGTTACAAAAAATAATAAATTATAGGAAATAGTCAGAAATTCTTCAAATATGTGTGTGTGCAAGATTACTTAGCATCAGGAGCCACACCAATTACATTAGACTCAAGAAAGGAAAAAGATACAAACTGACTCAGACCTAATCTACCCAATCTTGAGCTGGTTCCAATAGCAGTCTGATCTTGTGGACCTGAAATGTCAGTAGGTAAGACAGTCGTAGAGAAATAAGAGTGTTTTCTACAATCAAAATCATAATCCATGAAAATAGTTTCGCAATAGAATTTACATTACTAACAAAAGCTTGTATACGATATGTATAAGACCTTGTACACACTATATACAAGACCTTATACATACTATGTACAAATTCTTGTACATAATGAATATAAGTAGTCTAGATTTCCTTTTAAATGGATGAGCTTATAAGATATTTTTTCTCATTATCAAGCACATTATATTTATTTCAAAATTATTATAGACATCTGCAACAAGAAAAGTTTAAAATATTTATTAATTTTCCTTATAAAAAAATTATAGAATATTGAATATATATTTATATGGTCAAATACTGAGTTTTTATTGCTAATAGAGGCTTGTCCACAGTGTGCACAAGACCTTGTACACAATGTGTACAACTTCTTATACATAGGATGTACAAGTGGTCTAGATTTCCCTTAAAATACATGAGCTTTTAAAAGATATTTTTTTTTTCATTATCAAATGTATTATATTTATTTCAAAGCTATTATAGATAGTGTGTATAAGAAATTATTTTGTGTGGAGTCAAAATAGTAAATGTAGTGTCAAATGTAATATATGACATCTTAAAATAAGGTGTATATAAACTCTGCGTCCGGACTCTACACAAAATAATTTCAGTTATAAAGAAACCCAAAATATTTAATGCAATTGTGATGTCCCAGAATTTAAATTGGATTAATTAGTCTTTTATCTTTTAGTAAATAATAACCATAACTATTTAATATCAACTATTCGTAATAAATAATAAAAATAGATTTTATTAATCAATATATTAATATGGACATATACATTCATTTTTAAAAATTATAAACACTACTCAAGATCTATACAATCATATCATAACTGCTCTATCATAAGTACAAAAGAATAACCAGAAAAAAATATGATATGAAGAATCCTAACTAACCTCACACTCCTGTTCCCCTATTATGACTTAAAATCATTTAGCCACATATAATAAGCTAAAAAGTCCAGCAAGCCATCTAAACTTATAATTGAATTCAAAGCACGTTAAAGGAGAAATATGCATGTTAGGGATCAAATCATAATAGTTATATTCATGATCATTGAATTAGTGCAAAAATAATAAAATTCACATACAGTAGTAGTAGAATCTATAAAAAGAAAAATAGAATGGTTTGAAAGTCACTAAATCAGTATGAGTATTAAATTTATAAGGCAATCATCGTATCCGTAATACCAATCAGTAAATAAATCGTATAAAACATCAAATCAAAATATCGATAAAGTCTGTTGAAATTACGTCAATATACTATCCAGATATTATATATCACGTGCTCAGTATTAGGGGCGGAACCCCATGTAATATAGGGGGGACATTTTTAGTTCCTTGATTTTGTAAAAAGAATAGGAATATTTCATGACTACTAAAGTAAATCAAATAGAATAATGTAACCAAAGATTCCTGGTTTCGCCCCTGCTCAGTATATTACATGTTTAGTATTAGTATAATGAATTAGTTGTATCAAATAGTATATGTATATATATCGGTAGCAATAATAATCCATTGGCAAGAGCTGTAGAATAATGCAATAACAGTAAATCCGTATAATAATAATATATTTGTATAATAATAAGAATAACACCTAAAGAACATGCATTTCAATAGTCACAGTAAACAAATAAGAAGTCTCGGCTATCATGTTGTTTTTCAATATTGTATTAGTATTAGTAAATCGTTGGCTCAGAAAATAAAGTCGTCACTCCTTGCCTGTCAGCACAATAATCATCTCCTTATAACTCTCAATCAGTGTATCACATGAATCAGTAGAGGATAACACCAAATCACAGTATTTAAAGGAAAGCCCGTCAGTCTACTAACATGCACATGTCAATCATTCTCCAACCAACAGGTCAACTGGTCTTTACTTGTATTTTGTATATATTATTATCACAATATAATAATAGTAATCTCATTCATATATACACATTCATTTTCAATGCATTGCAACAAATAAATCATAATTAAGATTAATTCAGAAAATATAAAAATGTCATAATGATAGACAACAAAAATCATACTGAACAAAATTTTATATTTTTCAAAATTTAACTAAATTATAAAATATTTCTTAAAATAACATTATGAAGTTTTAGTTGAATAAAATCAATACTTTTAGACATCAAAATAAATTTTTAAGTAGGCAAAAATCACTGTATTTTTAAAATGACCCGGTGAAAAAATCTCAAATAAATACTCAAAACGTTCATAATCTCAATCTCTATAGCATATAAAAAGTTAAGCGGTGAAAATTTTATAAATACAAAATTATTCTCAATTATCTGTAATGAAAACACAAATTTGATAAAAAATAAAAAAAATATTTGATGACATTATTACTGTAAAATAGGGTAATGATTTCTTATAGTGAGACGAGTAAATCTTTCAACTTGGCGGACTGACGAAAATCGCACCATGACCTCCAAAACCTATATTTTCTTTTATCTCTCCCACTCTCTCTTATTTTATCTAAACTATTATCTGTTTTCTGTTTCAGCCGAAAGTTAAGGGAAATAAAAGATTCTTAAATAATGCATTAAGATATTTTAATAGAATATAATAATATAATTACTTAATTTATTCAATTTCTAAAAAAATTATATAAAATTATTTGAGACTTTAAAAATTATAGAAAAATATCCATAAAATAAATCATTTTATTTAAAAAATATCGATGAAATCGGTTTGCAAAACGGACACCTAAAGGTCTCAAAATCATCACTTATATCAACAGACTTGTACCGACAGGTGCAAATTTCTTAAGAATTTTTATCGGTGCTAAAAAATTACGAAAAAAATTAGCGCAATTAAAATACCACAATCTCATTGCTATGACGAAGATAGCTTGTGATTTAGAGTTATATTGACTCTAGAAAAAAATATTTACCCAGATCAAAATACATGTTATTATAGCAAGTCCGTTGTTCATGCCTTAAAATACTGTAATTTAAGGACCTCAGGACCGGGCGAGGTTGCGTGTAAGCAAAAAAATTCACGTGGTTGCACAAAAAAACTTAACCCAAAAAATACGTGTCGACTATGGATTGGAGTCCAACTTAGAGCTACGTTCGGACTCCACACAAAATAATAATTTTGGCTCCAATCAACATGTTAACTTTAAGGAAGGCTAAAACTATATTGAGTAGGTTTCACTTAATAAGGCCCCGATTCTTACACATTAAATATGATAATCCCTTATATTTTATTTGTAGTGACAAGAATAGAGTGTTTGCAACACAACACTGGACAAGCTTGATTTCAAAGAAAAATCTTCTCAAAACTACATAGATCGCATACAATTCTTCAATGACCCTTAATGTATAGATTCATTCCACAACAACTTAGAGCCATAGGTTCAATTATCATTCTCATGTATACAATTATTTAGTCAAGGATGTGGATGTTGCAATGAATGTCATGAATTTACATCAATTTTCTAAAATGCACTCTATGGTGTGGCTACTGTGTTGATATATACTAATCTGCTTTCTATGTTTTATAAAACTCATGATTGCTATATTTCATTTCTTATGATCAATTTACATAATTGTTTCTAATGCACTCGATTATGTCGTAGTTTCTTTCATTGCATTCTATTATATCATTATTCAATATAATATATAATCAAATCATAATCAAATAATCTACAAACAATGGCTAAATAATAACCAAATATTCTTTTTAAACCATAATTCAAACCATCTTCAAATCATAATTCAACTTCAAAAAGCAATATGCATTTATTGGGAATATTTTGAATATTTTGATTTTAAATAAATTTTTTAGCATTTTTCTGCATAAAAGAAGAAAGCAAACATATTTCTCTAATTTTTACTATTATGGGATATAAAGAAAAAAATTCTCTTATATTATGAGGACATTATCACTGCAATTATGAAAATACCTTCCCCTTAAGGAAATTTAAGAGAGCACGAGCCAAGTCAGAATTTTCGCTTCATTAGGAGAAAATTTTCCAAAATAGGTTGCCAAAAACTAAGAAAATTATGAAATGATTTAATAGAAGAAAGTTTCATTAGGAGTTACTACCATCATTATTAAGAAGATTATGAAATGATTTAATAGAATAATACAAAGGAAAGATGTTCATATAAAATCTTTTTAAGAGACTAATATCAATGCCAAAACTGAAAGATGTCCATAGAATAGAAGTTAAATATCAATACTTTGTATGGGCCGCATCGGTGTGGCCGACGTTGGAAATAAATTGTGAACACACGATCATCATTGGAAGAAATTTGATATAGTTCATAGAATTTAACTGCAAAAGAGCAATTCAGGAGCTATTTATCCTTCCAAAATATGGCAAGATTAAAAATGATTTTATTAAATGGGATTATTTAGAACATAATGATAAAAATTTCGCCTATTAAAGCAAAAATTATCAAAGGCTTAAAAATATTATTTAGAAAAATTATAAAATCTGTTTCAAGCAAGAAAAAAAAAATCACAATGATCAAAATGATGTAATATATATTATTAAAAAAAAAAAGGATGGGTATCTAATGTAATAGAATATGAGCAAAATAAAGAGGTAATTTTTAATAAAATGCATCAAGTAAATTTAGGTTTAGATGAAAAAGTACGGAAATTTGGACATCTATAGTAATGATTTGAAAAACATAAAATTATATGTAATTTTGAAGACTAGCATACTTTAAATGATTGAAGGGAATAGTTCTTTGTACTGAATTTGATTAAAAAAAAATTATATATATAAACCAAGAAATGGCTTCAGATATCACAATTATACAACAACAACATCAAGCTTTTATCCCACTAGATATCACAATTATCTAGTAGAAAAAATATAGATGGGTTGAGAGCGAAAGAATATTACAATATTGCTGGCAATAATTTAAACAATTCAAATAGTTTCCTGTGACTATGCAAATATGTTAAAAAAACCTTCACAATATTTCATCATCTTGCTGATCATAGAGTCCAGCATCTAAATCAACTGGACAAGATGGTGGGGTACCAGGTGGAATACAGGCAGCTCCATTTCCTCCAGCGCAAACACACAAGGCCTCGGCATCTCGAATTACTGAATCAAGATCAATTTGATTACTGAGCCCATTGATAAATTTTAAGAGAGTATCAAAATCCATCTGCTCCTCCATTATCTTTTTCTTGTGACTTTTAAGTATGGCAATGCATATGTAAAGATGGAAGTGCTCTGATAGATGATGTGTCCATAACACCTCCCACAAGTGCATTGTCTTCTCGTACTCGAATTCTCTGCAGTCAAACAAAAAAAGTGAATAATAAGACAACTTTTAAAATTCTTTCGGTAGGGACGAGCTAAGTGACGCAACCCATGTTTCCAAGATTAAAACGCGCGCGCGCGCGCACACACACACAAATTCCAGATGAACAAATTCAAACTCGAAAAGGATATTTCTGGTTCTCGAAGAATGAGGGGCAAAGGGATTGATCGAGAAAGATCTCTTGTTCTTCTTATAATTAGAAGATCGTGATTCGATCCGCATAGGTTTGGTAAAAAGAAGAATCTTCTCCTTTGATCATAAATGGAAAGATCTATATATATATATATATATATATATATATATAAGCTTCATATTTGATGCATCCAAAGGTAGATGTAAATTAGAGACTTTGTTTAGCATTTATTTGGTATTCTGCTACATTTTTCGATACTTACCAATAAGCTCGGTATTTTCATCATTTTCATTTTATTCAAATCTTATCGCTACAACAGGTTATGAGCATTGGATGAAAATTAGATTTAAATGAATGCATTTTGAATTGTTCATCCCTAGCGCTACAAAAGGCAAAGAGCATTGGATAAAACTTAGATTTAAATGAATGCATTTTGAATTGTTCATCCCAAGCATACAAAAGGTCTCGAGCATTGGATAAAACTTAGATTTAAATGAAAGCATTTTGAACTGTTCATCCTACATATTCTCCCACTCTGTGCTATTTGGATTACTTTATTTCTCTCTCCTAAGTTTTTTTCCCTAAGCTCAAAACCTTCTAACTCATTAAGAATTTCTTGCCTCTTATTTATCATAAGAATTGCATGAATTTTTTTTATATGCTCAATAATTTGGTTGACGATTCTAACAATTTTCATAGATAAATAAATGGATTAGAAAATAGGTATCTCGTTAAAGTACCATATTAGGAAGATATTTTATTTTTACTTAGTTAAAAATATTTTCCTTTTTATCATCTTTTTTTTTTTCTCTACTTATAACAAATATTCAGCCAATAACACACAAGAATTGTCCCTTCCAACATGAAATCAGATCCAAGTTAGCTCGCTCTCCTCATCCCCTTCTTAGAATCAATCCTAGCCATCTCATTGGGCCTGCTTACAACGCTCATTGCATGACTCACCTACTCATCACGCTGATGAATTCATTGCGATCATGTGCTTATTCAATCACTGCACTAGATTGTTGATCCCATATACCCATATGATTCATGAGTGGCTTATTATTAATTTTATGATCACAAACCAAGTATAACATGTCATTTAATATGGTTTGCTAGGTGCTCCTGCAAGTTACAAGTTACTAGTACAACGACAATTATAATTATGATGATATTGTTGTTAGACAAACTTTGAGATTTATTGGATTATAATGGACCTAGTTGAAATTTTATATACTTGAAGATGGAATAAAAATAAACTTATAATGAAAACTCAAGTGTGAAGTTTAAGGTACCAAGTCTAATATATATGATGTAGGAATCCTGCATGATGAACAAAGCAAGCAGAAAAATGGATAGAACAGTAACTCTCAGGCTACTGAGAACTAGTAAAAACAAAAAAAGTGTTTTTCTCCCCTGAACTTTCAGCCTCAGTAGTTTCTTTGATGCGGACATCGGCACGAAGATCTGGCGCATCTATCACAGGAGGCGTCGCAAATCGACGGCTATCATTTAAACCTTCAATTATGATTTTTTTTCTGAATTTTAGTTCTAAATTAATGTATTTCCTGTTTTACCCCTATGATAGTTTGTTTGAGTGTTATGGCCCAAGGGGCAAGTTTGTAATTTCGAATTTTCTCATATTGGGGCCTATAAATAAGGGCCTTAAGCTATTGTAATGGAAGGAATTATTGATATGAAAAATTGTTTTCCACATTTGTGTTCTTCTTGTGATAGAGCGTTAGTGAGATTCCTATGAGAGGAATCGAAGTCTTCACCAGCCACAGGATGGGTCCGGGCTCGTGATTTGAAGTCCCTTGGAGAAGGGCAAAGAACCACCCGTCAGTTTTCGGAAGAGTCCGAGGCTCGCGGTTTTTATTTTTTTCTCTTTCGTTTTTATCTTCGATCTCCTATTTTGTTTTTGTTTTCTTCCTTCTTATCGCTCACCGTGGTCATTTTCATATTCTTCCTCCTCCCTCAACGTCACGGACCAAGCTCCTTACCGAGCTCTCCAAAAGCCACCGGCCACCTCACCCATCATGCTGCCGGCTCCACCTCATTAGCCGCCAGTTGAACCTTCCTCTCCACCCCCTTTTGGATTTCCTAATTTGGTAGGGTTAATTTAGGGATGAATTTGAATTTGAAATTATTCAAATTCAAATTTCAAATTCTTTCCTAATTTGGTTCATCTATTTTAGGAAAGTACTTAATTTAAATCAATTTGAAATTTGAATTCAAAATCTGATTTTTTTTTTCTCACTTTCATAACTCCTAAATTCAAATCTAACCGCCGGCCCCCTTTATGAGCCAATTAGGAGTTATTTCCTAATTGCTTCATAACCTCTTTTTTTTTTTTTTTAAGTTTCCATTTTAAATCCTATTTGAATTTCAAATTCAAAAGGATTTATTTTTTTTTTCTTCCATTTTACGTACTGTTTGAATTTCAAATCTCTGTTACAGATTCAAAATCCAAAGGATTTTCCATTTTTAATCCCCTAGCATTTAATTAAATCCCAAGCCGTTAATCCCTCACAGCTCCACCTCTTTATTTCCTTACCAAAACTGAGAGTGTATTATGGAATTAAATCCCTATTTTCCCTCTCTACCTCCTGCCAGCTACATTAACCCCTGCTCAAATCTTTCCTAAAACACCTCCTTTTACTTTGGGAATTAACTTCCATCATAACTCACTGCTGGCTGTATTATCTCAAGCTCTTGCCTTGTTTTTCTCCACCATATCCTGCCCACAATTCCTCCCGCAAAGAGTCTTCCACGTATTGGAAATAATTCCGAAAATCTCAAGGCCCACACGCCACCCTCTGCTGAAGATTTTCTCAAGTTTTGAATATGAAAACCTGAGGAAAATCTCTCTATTACAGCCGGCTCCCTCCCCAAATTAATTGGCTTTTGAAATCTCTCCATAAGTGCAAATTTACCCTTTTAAAAAAGATTTCCAAAAGCTGAATCTGCTGGCCGAATTTTCCAAGACCATCACGTGGGAATTCCTCCACTAGAAGCTCTCCAAATTCATTACAATATTAAGCCCTCTTCCTCCCAAAGCTGCAGCAAATTTCTGAAAGAAATCTGAATATCTTTCAGATTTCTAGAAGGAATTATTTCAGGTTTTTCGGGAGGGCGCTTGGATTTCGTTCTTGCCACTACACCCCTCCCCGTACTACATCATTCTTCCCTAACAAACTAATACAAAAAGGGTAAAAACAAAAAATCGGCCATCTAACACGAATACACAATAAGTCATATCTTACAATCAATACTTGGCAAAAATATTAGCATGTGATTTTTTCAAATATCAAAATGTATTTTATAAAGCATAATAGCAATATGGGTCGAATAACTAGAACGAATTCTAAAAAAAATGTGAGAAAATCGAATCCTATCTTCATGGTATAAAATTTAAAATTTTTTAAATTGAATGGGGTTTTTTAATTTTTTTTGGATTTTTCATAAACAAACTAACATGATAAAAATTGAAGGTTTGAAAATACATAAAAGTAGCAAGAAACATAGGCATAAAAAATAAAACATTCAAACCTATAAGATTTTTTGGTGATTCAGCCACCGCCTATGTCAAGCTAAAAGATCCATAAAACGAAAAATCTCTTGGGGTTAATTGAACTCCACTAGGTAAGTAAAAACCTTCATCTTGTTCCGGATATCTTAACAAAAAGGGCATATATTAAAGGAATGATGACAAATGGCTGAGAGCAAATCAATAAATTAGCATGACATGGATTACTATTTTTCATGAGTGATTATATAACAATTGACTTTTTTATTATTATACTTGATATATGGTGATGCTCGAAGGCGACGAAAGCAAGATCATTGCGGTATCCATATCCACAATGATTCGAGCTATATGATTACATTTAATTCATTAATATTGCATTGTTATTTAGACATCTTTTATAATTCATATATCATGCCCTGTCTCTTCTCGTATATTCTTTAACAAATTGAAAATTTTCTATTGAGTTTGTATGATCAACTCATACATTGAACCATTTTCCTAGAAGCAGATTATTTAGTAATAGTTATTTCTTTGATTTAGTATGTATGTTGTAACAGTAGTTTTTTGTTTAGACATGTGTCATATTCTTGGTTTGTTATTGTAGATTTAGTTGATTCCTTCCATTTATATTAGTTGATGTTCTCCTTGTCTCGCGTGCTCTCGTGTTGCTCCTATGACGAAGACGAAGCAATCGAAGAAGACGCAAGCTTGTATGGCCTTCCCTGCTTGCGTATCACCCTCCGTTGGCGTCACTAGCAACTCGTGTATCACCCTCCTTCGGCGTCAGGCTGCTCCTGTAAGAAAAAATAAAGAAAACCCTAACCTCATTCCCTGCTCGTGAAAATGGTATACCCTCCTTCGGCATCAGGCATGTGTTCGTATCCGAAACATGTCTAATACTGCATACATTCATAAATAGGTGTATCAATGCAACATAGTATTAGTCATACTAAGTAGTTTTCCATACTTTAGACAACAATATCATAAAAGAATATCATGATTTTACCTTCTGAATTTTTTTGGAATTTTCATAAACAAACAAACATGATAAAATTTGAAGGTTTGAAAATACATAGAAGTAGTAAGAAAAATAGGCTTTGCCAATCAAGCATTCAAACACATAAGATTTTTAGATGATTTGTCCACCGCCTATGTCAAGATAAAAGATTCATAAACTGACAAATCTCTTGGGGTTAATAGGACTACACTAGGTAAGTAAAAACCTTCATCTTGTTTATGAGGTGTTTGAGTATTCAGGGGGAAGAAACAAACAACATGTCATTCAATTTCCTTTTAATGACAAGGTAGAACTTCGACTCGGCATGGGGTTTGAGCAAGAATTGAGGGAAGAGACGCGATAGTTCGGCGAAGAGACGCGATAGTTCAGCGACGATCTACAAGGAAGGGGGGGGGGCAATATGCAAGTAAGTCAGGATATATGTACAGTAATAATAATAAGATATAGTATTTTAAAATATATAATTATATAATAATATAACTATAATTAATATCTTATTATCATCACAGAGTTGATTTAAATTAATATAAATTGATCATTGTACTCGCTCATTCCTCGTGCGTCTCGATTCGTGTACTGAATTTTGTGTGCAAATTTCATTGGGCAAAATTATAGTTGATTTTAGGTGACTCGAATGTTTCAGAAGCAATAATGAAGTCCGTTTTTCGATCGGATGTCATTTGGGTAGCGTCGTGCGTCCATTCAAGTGTCGATTGTTGATTTTGACCATTTCTGCTCGATTCGGCTGTGAGGGGTTCCCTCTTGGGTAAATTCGGTGCTATGATCTTAACATCGCAGTCTTTTTGGTGATTGGAGATCATTTGATCATTTAAATGATGCATTGCGATCGCCAATTGTCGCTCGAGTCACCAAATTTGCCTCTTTTGCTCACGATGATTTGGCAGATGTGTAAAGGTCAACAACACATTCGTATGGCCTTCCTTGCTCATGAATCACCTTTCGTCAGCATCACTTCTCGTGTATCATCCTCCTTAGACGTCAGACCGCTCCCGCAAATGAAAAAAAAGAAAGCCCTAACCCCACTCCCTATTTTCAGAAATGATATAGCAAAATAGAAAATACAGGCTGCTCATTTTACTTGATTCTTTTTTTTCCATTACTTAATAAGATATGCGTATCTGATACGTGTGTCCTAATTAATTTAAATATTATTTGATTTGGATACGTTTTTTCTATATCCGACTTGTCTTTGAGCCGCATTGAGCGCGTGTCCATATCCGACATGTGTCTGATATTGGATACCTTCATAAATAGGTGTATCGGTGCAACATATTATTAGACATACTAAGTAGTTTTTCCATTGGTCACAAATTAATTAAGTAATAATTTAGAAACAAATATGAGAAAAGAATAACATGATTTTACCTTTTGAACTGTATGAGAATCCAACGGAAACAGAAGAAATAATTTAGACAATCTGCCTGCCTAAAGTAATTATGCAGCGAATGATCCAGAAGCTCTACCAGCTGAAAAAAGAGAAAAAATTAGAACATGATAACTGAATTGAAGAATAAAAATAAAAAAATTATGATTTCATCACACAAGTCAGTTATTGTAAAAAAGAGTTAACCACCCATCTCACGCATTAACAATAAAGAATTATGATATATTAAGCGCATCTTTTATGTGGTATAAAAAAGTTAGACCCCGTCAAAATTTTTTAGGACACCGTTAACAAGAACAGGCTAACAAATGCTGCAAGTCCGTTTACAAAACAATGATTTTCTACAGGATCATTTGCAAAGCTTTAAACCCAAGGCCAAAGGCCATTTTCAATTCATCAAAAGCTTATTAGTGAAAAATGCATACCAAATTGATTTGCAAGGGAGCACAAGTATTTCCACTAAATTTAACGGTATAGTGCTCTCACCTTATTATGAACAAAAAATGCTCAATGCATCACGGACGAATCTATTCCTACCTGAGAATCTTGAGATAGTATTAGGAGGGTCATTTTGTAATTAATTTTTTAATATGGGGCTTGTTTTCTTTTTCTTCAATCATTAGGGGTAGTTTGGTTAATATGAGCGCCAAGGTGTTAGAAGGGGACTTTTTTTTTTTAGATTTGTTTTAACAATTATCCTGAGGATGGAGATAAATTTTCCTATTAATATAGTTGAGGACTATTTGATCTTTTAAAAAGAGTCAAGACCATTTTCATCCTTTTCTCTCATAGAAAAGGTTTGAATAAATTTCAAGCCCCTTTGGTTACAAGATAGTCTTCTTCAATTTCAAGAAAAGCTCTTAATCAGGTTTCCGTTATTCAATCCTTTCTTTATTCAAATGACCAAGATACTTCCGGCAGTTGACATAGATGCAGAAGGATGATGGGTGCATGAGTAGACATGTTCTAAACTAGATGACCAGGATAAATAGTTTGTCAAATACAAAAGTTTTCTTCTCCGACTCTCTTACTTTTCTTTTTAAGTTGCTTCTGAAAGTTATGATGGTAAGTGATCTTTAACTCTTGTTCGTTTGAGATTGGAGGGATATGTAATGGTGGGAGGGGAGCAAGTCGGGGTGGAATAGCATAACTAAGATTTTAAGTTAAAAGTCGGGGTAGAAATAGAAAATAATCAAAGTAGTCCTTAGACTTCTTCCACGTTAATCTGACTTTTTCGAGTATTTAATATAGTTCCTTGATTATCCAAATTTGAATCAATTTGCTCATACAGTTTCTTTGGACAAAACTTGATTGAGGGGGGCTTTTGATGAGGGCATTTTAGACTTTTTAGGGTTAATGCCATCCCTGAATATTAGCTCATACCTAAAAAGCACAATATGACCTCCACTAATTTTCATCTTTCTAATGAACTGACAGCTGGCATAAGGACTAAATTTATTCAGTTTATTGAGTTGAGGGACTAAATTGAATATCTGAAAAAATTTGGGACTAAAATGAATACAACATATGAAGTTTAGAGACAATTTTGATTATTTATTTTTAATATGCATGTTTAATGAAAAATTTCAAGGCCGCACATACAAAGATTTTGTATACTATAGAGCATTATAATTTTTTCATAAAGACAAAAAAAGAAAGAACCTCAACCGATTTCCAACATGCACAACTATAACTTCAATGAAAGCACTCTAAAATATACTTCTAGAATCATAAACCTGAAACTGACAACCTTAGACAATGCAAAAAGTTGGGAGTGCATTCCACTTTGATCACGGTTGAAGTTGGGCCCCAAGCGCTCCATCAGCGCAACAAAAGACCAGAAAGCCTCATATTCATCCCTCATAACAAATAGTATAGGCGATAAAAGGTCGCTCATACCCTGGTCATTAAGGTGGGTTAAGACTACAGCATAGCCATAAAATAACAAAAAAGTGAAAGTAAAAAGTATATATGATTAGTCCTTCATTCAAAAGAACATTAAACACTACAACAGAATACCTGACAATATCCAAGGTCAAAATTATAAAATGAATATGTCAACAGTATATCACGTAGAACTATAACATTTGGATTATCATCTCCTTCAAAATAAGGGACAGATCTGTCTGTTCTGACCTTGAAAAAACAAGGAAAAAAACCAAATAACGTGACATCAGAATTGCCATACTATCTTAAAGATACTTCAGTAGAATTTTGTACTAAGTCGTCCCACTGGTAGAAAGTAGAGATGTTCTTACCACATCCTTGTCAATTAAACTTTTTCGTTCTCTAAACTTTGTAAACCTTTTAGCTTGTACCACCGAAATACTCTGTATACACAAAAGCTGTATTAGTCACGAAATGATGCTAGTTCCTAAAGCAACTAGGATGATGCAATGGGCGTAAATCACACACAAGAAAGTATGATTTGCTGACCAAAAACTAATTAATAAACAAAAAGTTGCTTTGTTTAGGTGTTAACTAAAACTACGTGAAATTGAATTAAAATGATAATGCATTGATCAATCATTCAAAAAAAAAAAAAAAAAAAAAAAAAAAAAAAAAAAAAAAAAAAAACACAATAAAAATTTGGAACCACATGTGCTATGAATATTTTCATAACATTTAATCCCAGTAGTAGAAAAATTAACCAAAAATTAAGAATCTGGCAACACCAACAACTAAATATTTAAGAATAAAATCATAAAGGAAAAAAGTCATCAAAGTAAAGAAAATTAAAGCCTCAAGCTAATATAAGGAAAGATCATCCCCCAAAAGTTGGTCATCACACTTGTACTGCACTCAAAAGAATCCCACATTAAAAAATCACTCACAAGATTGAAAGTAAAAATGCAAAAAATTTTATTGTATCTAAAAATCATTTTTACATGTCTCAGATGTTGGTATTTAAAAGCATCTAGTCCCCTAATCAACTGCCTCTCATTTGCTTGTTTTAGATTTCAAATTTTAGATAAAACCAACAATACAAGGAAGCCATGACCCAAATTAGCACTCACACGTTAAGTCACGCTGCTGAACATACTAAATTAAGTGGGTGAGTGTTATACATCAACATATTATATTTCTTAAATGACAAATAGATCCAAATATGGAATAAAGCACTAGTCTAGTGTTTCTTTTACTTATTTTAGGTAGGCAGTTCTTTATTAATATGTTGGTCTACCAAAGTATTATAAATACCTTTCTAGTTGAAAAGATATACCGTGGAATAAATAAAATTTCTAGTTTCCTTTTATCTCTCAATGTTTTCTATTTCTCTTGGAAGTTTTCACTTACTCGAAAGGTGCCAAAGCTTCTTGGATCACCAAGAAGCATAACAAAGGGTGCTCTTGTTGCACTAAACTCAACTTTCCACATCATTCATCAACGGTCCAGTCTCCTTCCCCACCACCTATCTCCATTTCAGCAGCCAAGATATTGTTTCTCCATCGGAAAACACTGCTCCACGGCAGCCTTCAGGTTCTACTTCAAGTTCTTGGAGACTAGCCTCTCCACCGCATTTCAGCAGCCTTCGATCAGCCTTAAACCGTCCTCATTCAACTAGCCTTAAACCGTCCCCATCCAACTAGACTGTAGCTTTCTTTCAACCGAAGGTCTGTCCAACCATCTTCGGTACAGGCTTTTCCTCTTCACTACAATCAGCCCGCTTCAAAAATTGCCTCCAAAACAGTTCTCTTCCAAAGACACTTCTGTCCTTCAATACTTTACCATTTCAACTGCAAGAACCGCATTTTCTTGCCATTTTTTTTTTCAGCTGAACAAGCTACCAGCCCACCTCCTGTTCAGCCCAGCTTTGCCAGCTTATTTCCAACCATCTTCTTGGGCTGTTTGAAGTCTTCCCAGTACCTTCTCCTCCTCCTTTCCATCAGGCGACCACTGTACAGATATTCAGTTCAGCCTACAACATTCCAGCCAATTTGTATTTGACATCCTTCAATCTGCATCTTCTCTCCAACATTTGGCAGCCTTTTTTTTCCCTTTCAAGATTGGCAGTTTGAAGACATGCTATTTTTAACAACAAACATCAAAACCAGCAAATTGGAGATCTGTTATTTTTTATCCGTATCTATCAAAAACAACAATGTTACATGCTACAACTTTTTCAGCCAATTGTTTCTGTCAAGAACAAACAAGGAACCTTCATCAAAAAGTAACCGTCATCAACACTAGTGCCAAATACTGCATCATGAATTTCCTATTCTTCTTTGCAAGAACACATTAGGTTTTTGTTTTCAAGAACCACATTGGCACTACTTCAATTAACCTCAACAATTCAAGAACTCTCAACATAAGAAACGCTGATTTGGCGAAAGCCATTCGAGCAATGCAAACAAATCGAGAATTACAATTCTCCGACATACAAAATTCTCTACAACAACTTGATGTTCAATTTGCTTCCATTGGCTCATCAACAACAACAACAACAACATCAAGCCTTTATCCCACTACGTGAATTTTTATAACAAAGCTTCTTATTTTTAATTTTTTCTTGCACATTAGGATTCCACCACCAACTATTTTTACTATTGGGAGCTTTTCCCTTTGATACTCCAAGGACATCTTTTGCAATATTCTTAATATCAGTAGCCACTTTTTCCATTGGCTCATCCCTTCAACAAATTCATTCTTTCATGGATTGCATAGACAAGAAACTTGATAGTTTGTATATTGACTGTCCACATACTCCACTCCATCAAGATACTTCCTCTTTCATCGGCTGAATCCCTTCTCCACAACTGTCACCTTCTCCGACAGATTTTTTTTTTCTTACACATCATCTACCATTATCCAATTCTACCTTACTCACACAATCTCAACATTTGTTTCAACCATCACAAGATTTACCTCAACCTCATACCATTGAATATCTTATTTATCCTCCACCCTTATCTCAACTTGTTAACGTCCCTCCTTATCCTTCTCCACATTTTCAAAATGGTACTATGGAACAATTAGTTTCTGAAATACCTAACTCCAACATTAATTGTCATGATCCATAGCTTTTTTTCTATTCCGATATTGCTTGTTCAAAAACATGATGGTACTTGACATTTTTGCATTAATTCTAGAGCCCTTAATATACTCATCATTCAAGATAAATTTTTTATTGCAATAGTACACGAATTTTTAGATGAATTAAATAGAACTCTTTTTTAGAAACTTCATTTTAGTTCTGCATCTTAGCAAGTGAAGATGCATTCTAAAAATGTCATAAAACTATTCATGACGGTCACTATGATTTTCTCTTTATCCATTTTCCTCCTACCTTTTTACAACTTCGCAATCAAATTTTCTGAAAATGGAAATTAAATTTCCAGGTCATGCCACATGAAAAAAATTTATAGTCCTCTCTTGAGCTGTAAAAGCATTTATGGTGACTATGAGTTTGGAGTGACTAATAAAGGTGGTAAGATCAGATTAAGGTTTGCTATAGGCCTATAGCTTATGCTTTTGTAATTGCTAAATAAAAATGTACGCTAATATTTTCCAAGAAATGATCAACAATATGAGTAGGAATCAACTTCATAGTTGGGAGCAAGATTATGAACCATTAGGCCAAGGTCTGATTCATAAGATTCAAATATGATTGAATAAAATTCAAATATTTAAGTAACACTTAACACATTGATTTAACCAATTTCGCACTTATCAATTATGTTTTATGTTCATCTCACATTTGATAAAGCATTTCAACAATATTATATAAATACAAGTAAGAATTACATATAATAGACACGTAGTGATTTTACCACTAACTAGTCTGCTAGCTAGTCATTCTTGCCATTTTATAGCGGGAGTGATGCTTTTAAATTTTATGATAATAACAATAGGCCCTGTGAACATTTGGTCAAAAAGAAGAGAAAAATAATCGAAAGAAACAATGATGGACCACACAATTCCATGCAAATACGAGGAAGGTAGATTTGAAACTAGAACTTAAAAATATCACGAGAAACCATACCCACCTTCCATTGAGATTTTATAGTTTCATAATCTAATTTCCTCACTGATTCAAGATATTCCCTCTCAGCATATGTTGATTCATATTCATAATATCCCAACAAGAACTTCCAAACCTGCAAACTCATAATTAAGCTATAAGATAAAAAATCAAAAGCTAGACACCAAGTGCTTCCAGTACACAGGAAATAGAATGGTACCTCCTTCCGCAATTCGTGCTCCAATCCACCATAAAATATTCTTTTAATCAAATCCTTTGAATTCATGACACGTCCCTCAGAGTCCAGAAAAGTTTCCCACTATAGTCCAAATTAGAGATACATCAAATTTATGCAGACAACATAAAAGATGTCCAAATTAAATGAGAATGTTTTAAGAAAACCCTTAAATGGCACTGCCCGTGGACATGCCCAATAGATAAACTTAAAATGGCATTGTCAAAAAAGTAAAAATCATAAGCATATGCAAAAGTAATTATGGAAGGTCTGCCTTGATTGGATGGTCATGAACATGCCCTTATATCAATTATTAAAACATCCTAATGCAGAGGGTACCAAACAACCAGACAACATCCTCTCAAGCTCCACTACGAAATCATTCCCAGACCAGCTAGTAACATCACAGTCCATTACTTTTTTTGAATTGGTCCGTCAACTGTAAAATATGTTTTTACTAGTTTAGTATTGGAGGGTATATGTACACAATTACTTTTGAGGTATGGATACAAATAGACCGTCATCCTTATTGTAAAGGCAATCTAATTCATTTTGTATCCTAGTAAATTTGTCGCCTATCGTATTCTCCCTTCTCTGTCTTTCCCTGCTTCTGGCTGCTTTCAGGTTCGGTTTCAAGAACCCGGAAGATAGTTTCTGTCCTGAGGAAGGAGTAATGCTTTTGAGGCAGAACTGCTGTTGATTGCTTCTATTACTGTGGAGCTGCAACTGATGAAGGCTATGATCTTTGCTGTGATGAGCTACTGGTGTGTATATTGCGAAGGAAAGAATTCTCATGGGAGTTTTGCTTCCTGTAATCGTGTTCTGCCTTCGAGGAAGGACAGTTGAAGAAATGTTGGAATCTAGTCTTTTAAGGACTGCTGCACAGAACCGAGAGGTTGTAGAGAACCAGTGCTTTATGGAATCTTCTGATAAGCAAGAACTGTGCTGAAGGTGTCCTGTTAACTAGTTTGTTTGTAGTTTGCCAAGAACATATAGGAGTATTTTTTCTTCTACAGATTTATTTATTTGTATAGCTTATTTCAGGTTTGGAATATGTTGGATATCATGTCAGTAGCTTTGGCATTTCTAAACATTTTGCTGTAAACCCTACTGCATCACTTTTGTTCTTTTGAAGTTAATGCATTCCTATTGGGAGAAACTGAATGAGCTCTCTTTACCTAACTCTCTTTATTGCTATCAACCTCTTTCCCTTCTCCCAGGCAGACCATTCCGTCTCCCCTACTCTTATACATGTTGAAAAATTCTAAAGTGAGTGAACATCTAGGAAGCAAAAACACTTCCAAATACTTTTCATGTCCGTGTCGAATGCAACACATCTCTGACACTCTTCAATACATGTCCAACATGCTCAATACATCACAAGGATATTTGCATGAGGGACAATTAAGTTTCAACACAAGTTGGACACAACCTGACATGATCCTAACACTGCTTAACATGTTACATGGACATACGTGTGAGGGATGGCCCACCTGTGAGATATCAATACAGGCATAAAATATGTGACAATTGACAATGATTAATAAATACTAATATTAGAATGTTGTTAACAAATGACAAATTGTGAAAAGCAATAAAGAGTTTCTTTTATTATTAATAATATTTATTTTTCTTTTGTTATTATTAAGCTTTTTTTGAGGGATATTGATAGGAAACACTTGAATATCTCAAATAATTCTTATCAATCATTAGAAAAATAGCAAAAATCCTCCACAAAAATCCACACAAAATCAAGAAAATAGTAGAAAATTTGTATTATTTGATGAAATAGAAATGGAAAATAGCAAGATACAGTTGATCCTCAATTCGAGAGGAGGATCGATCTCTCCCAAATCTCTAGACGCCGCTAGAGCCCAAAGAAAAGGGGGCGCTGCCTCCTGGCGGGGTTAGAATAAAATTTTATTGTAAGAGTGAAGACACAGCAAAAGCGCAACAAAAGCGTTACTACCAAGCAACCAAGACATTGAAGGAAAACCCAGGATATTGCAGCAACAAGAAGAATTAAAGATTGCATCATGCATTATACTTGATGAGAGATGAATTAACAAAACCTGCTGCAATAAACCAAGCCCTTCCAAGGTAATCAAAATATTGGAAAACAAAATCCATTCTCATAGGTCCCATTCAAAAAAAAAAAAAAAAAAGAATATAGAAAATAAGATGACTAAAATGACTCCAAAATTTAGAATATTATTATGATCATCCAAACGTCTATATTTTGCAATTTGCTAGAGCATACAAGATCAAGCCTTTAACCCACTACGTGGGGTCGACTACATGAATCATTTTTCTCCATTGTATCCGATTAAGAGTTAAATTCTCATTTAGATCTAATAAAGAAATGTCATTTCTAATATTTTCTAACTAAGTCTTTTTAGGTCTACCTCTACCTTTCTTAACATAGGTTAAATCTAATACATCTACTCTCCTAACTGGGTCATCGGAAGGATGCTGTTTTATGTGACCAAACCATCTAAGACAACTCTCTCTAATCATATCTTCCACTGGAGCTACTCCAACCTTTTCATGTATATGCTCATTTCGTATCCTGTCTCTAAGAGTAAAGCCACTCATCCACCCGAGCATCCTTATCTCTATAACACTCAACTTAATATTATGCTTCTATTTTAATGACCAATATTCTGCGTCATAAAGCATTGCAGGTCTAACCACCATCTTATAGAATGTTCCCTTAAGTTTGAGTGGTACTTTTCTATCACACAACAAGCCCGATGCATTCCTCCACTTCATCCATCCAACTTGAATTCTACGAATAATATCCCCATCTATTTCACCATCTCTCTGAACAATAGACCCAAGATATCTAAAACGTGTACTCTTCTTAATGACTTGATTGCTCAAAGTCAAAGCCCCCACTAGATCTATTACTATTAAAATTAGACTCCATGTATTCGGTTAAGATCTACTCAAACGAAAACCTGTAGGCTCTAAGGTTGACCTCCATAATTCAAGTTTACCTTTAACTCCCTATTTAGTTTTATCAACAAGAAGAATATCGTCAGCAAAAAGCATACACTAGGGAACATCCTCTTGCAAATATCTAGTAAGAACATCGATGACTAAAGCAAAAAGATATGGGCTTAAGGCTAATCCTTGATGTAATCCAACTGAAATTGGAAAATACTCGGTCAAACCACATTTTGTTTGAACACATATAACAACTCTAGCATACATATCCCTAATGACTTGAATATAATCATTATTAACTCTTTTTTTTTAGAACCCTCCTTGAAACTTTATCATATACTTTCTCTAAATCAATAAATATCATATGAAGATCTTCCTTTTTCTCTCTATACTTCTCCATCAAACCTCTCAATAAATGTATGGCTTCTATAGTAGACCTACCTGGCATGAATCCAAATTGATTTTGAGAAACATTAGTATCACGTCGTAACCTAAGCTCAATAACTCTCTCCCATAGTTTTAAAGTATGACATATCAACTTAATTCCTCTATAATTTGCACAATCTTATGCATCACCTTTATTCTTAAAGATAGGAATCAACATACTCATTCTTCACACATTTGGCATCTTTTTAGTCTTCAAAATAATATTAAAAAGTTTAGTAAGCCAAGAAATTCTTTCATCTCCTAAGCATTTCCACACTTCTCTTGGAATATCATCAAATCCAACAATTTTCCCACACTTATTTTTTTTTAAAGCTTCTC